CCCACCAGAGGGGGAAGACTGCCAAGGTGATTGATGGCTGGGGTTGAAAACCACCCGCCTCGGTGAGTCTTTATTAAAACAGAGGCCGTTGGAGGGGACAGTCCCCTGCACAGCCCAGACAAAGGATGACATTAAAATGCTGCTACCCCAGTCCCGGGCTCATCCTCCAGCAGGGGGCGGCAGGCAGGCACCCCCATTCCTTCCAGCAGGGGGCGGCAGGGACAGACACAACCACCCCCTTGCTCTAGGGGGACACAGACAAGGATGCCAGACGGTTTTCAACGCCGGCCCCGGGAGAGCTGCCCCCAGGTTCCGGCGCCGGCCCAGATGAGGGGGTGGGGCTGGCCTCCTCCAATGGGGGCGGCCCAGGGGCCTTAGCGGGGCGGAGCCTGGGGGGCACGTAGCTGTATTCTTTCCCTGGGGCCAGCTGCAGAGGGGGAGAGAGAGAAGGGGGTGGGATGGTGGCACCCTGGTGCACCCCGCCCCAGCCTGCGCTTCCCGCCCCACCTGACTGCCCCACTGCCGGGAACTGGCCCCGATTCCCCCGGGCCTGCGATCCCTGCCCTGCCCCCACTGCCGGGATCCAGCCCCACTCCTCCAATCCCTGCCCCGATCCCTGCAGTCCCACCTGGAGGGGGTACGTCCGGTCTGCGTCGTAGGCGCTCAGATCCCCACAGGCCAAGAACGGGACAATCACTCTGTTGGGCCCTTCCAGCTGATTAAAATCCACATCTAGAAAGGGACAGAGGTTAGCCTGGCCTGCAGGGGAGAGCGTCCCTGCCCCCCACCCCTCTGCCCGGGGGGAGCGCCACTCCTTGCCCCCCCACTGCCAGGGGGTGTGCCCCTCCCTGCGTCGTAGGCGCTCAGATCCCCACAGGCCAAGAACGGGACAATCACTCTGTTGGGCCCTTCCAGCTGATTAAAATCCACATCTAGAAAGGGACAGAGGTTAGCCTGGCCTGCAGGGGAGAGCGTCCCTGCCCCCCACCCCTCTGCCCGGGGGGAGCGCCACTCCTTGCCCCCCCACTGCCAGGGGGTGTGCCCCTCCTTTGTCCCACACCCCACTGCCGGGGGGAGCGCCCCTCCCTTCTCCCACACCCCACTGTCGGGGGGAGCGCCACTCCTTGCCCCCCCACTGCCAGGGGGTGTGCCCCTCCTTTGTCCCACACCCCACTGCCGGGGGGCCCCCCACTATCAGGGGATCGCTCCCTGCTGAGCCCCCCTTACCGTAGCAGTGGTCCAGCAGCGGGTTGGCCATGCTGGGCACGTAGCCCTCGGGCGGGCAGTACCCACGGCAGACAGCAAAGGCCTCTGGGGATGAGAGAGACGTCAGTGGGGCAAGGGGGTGTGCCCCTCCTTTGTCCCACACCCCACTGCCGGGGGGCCCCCCACTATCAGGGGATCGCTCCCTGCTGAGCCCCCCTTACCGTAGCAGTGGTCCAGCAGCGGGTTGGCCATGCTGGGCACGTAGCCCTCGGGCGGGCAGTACCCACGGCAGACAGCAAAGGCCTCTGGGGATGAGAGAGACGTCAGTGGGGCATGCAGGCAGGGGGGGACCCACCCCCTCTGTGGCGCAGATGCCTCCCCCGGCTGTAACCCATGCGACCGGCCCCCCGCCCCCACCTGCCCCCCGCCCCTTGCAGGGAGGGCATCGCGTCCCAC